AGAGAGAGACAGCCTGTGAGAGGAAAAGTGAGAAAATTCCACCCCCGGGAGGAATGGCCATGCCGCAGTCTCTCCTCTTCCATCCTCCTCCCACAAACTTGGGCCCAGTGTGATCTTCAAGCCACCAGTTCCCAGACTTGAACTGTGGTTGGCCATGTGGGAGTCCAGTGACATAATGTCTATGCCACCTGCAGACCCCCAGAATTTATTTTTAAAAACCAAGAAATTGACCAAGAAAATCCTTAAGCAAACTTTAAAAGATAAATAATAGCATGATGGGAAATGCATGCAATTCATAGGATAAAGGTTGACCTGGGGCCATCTGGTAGCATGGTGGTTAAAGGGACCGGATCCCACATGGCCAACCATATGTGTCAAGTCCTGGACCTGGAGGCATGAGAAACACACAGGTCACATGTGTGTGTCTGTCCCAAGCCTTCAGAGAATGGAGACGTGGAGAAGAGGAGACTGTCGTGCAGCCACCCCATGGAGGCTCTCTCTCTCTCTCTCGCTCGCTCTCTCACTCTCGCTCTGTCTTTCTGCAGTGACCACATGTGACCTCTGGCAATGTTCCTTTTTTTTTTTTTTTTTCTAAAGAATAATATGTGTAAGACAGGAAAAGCTCACAAGAATCAGGTTAAAAGTGATAAAGAATGGAAAGAATAGAATCAGATAGTTCACAGAAAAGAAAATAAAAAAAGTTAAAAATAGAAGAATGGAAAGACAAAAAAGCAGATGTCCAAAAAAAAAAAAAAAAAAAAAAAACATAAAAAAAGGCCCCAACATTTCAATTTATATTAAAAAAAAGCAAATAGAGAGGTACTATTTTGTACCTAATACTGTTTTGTTTCCAGTGAGTATAACATTTTATAACCCCTATGGAACCAGTTGGAAATGACTTTAAAAACTCAAAATTCATCCCACATGTAGGCAGACAAACGAAAATTAACAAATGGACACAGTAATTCTTTGAAGCACCCTCATTGTAAATGATGGTCACCAAGAGGTCTATTACTAAGAAATTGGTTACACAAATTCTATTTTTTCAGTGAAATACTATGCAGCTTGATAAGTAAAGGAAGCAAGTTATCATCTTGTTTCTAATTAGTATGTATTGCAACTAGGATGTGTTATGGTTAGTATAAGAAAGAAGAAAATTAGAAATATATCCTAATTTGCTGTGTTTAAGTAAAAAGAGCACGTGGCTGGCCCCATAGTGCAGTGGTTAAGTGCCGTGCTGCTGGACCCCACAGGGACACGGGCAACCACTGCAAGTACGTGCAAATCCTGAGAGGGAGAACTGAAGGGAGGTGTAGAACATGAACCAGCCCAACCTGACACCCCTCACCTCGGGAATATATAACAGGGTCTCGTGTCCAGAACTGATACGACGTATTGTGCAGTAAGTAAACACATTATATTTGGTAATAGTATATTATTAGTACTTTCCTTAAAGGGACCTCTTTTTTTTTTTTTTTTTGGAGAGATTTTCACTGTAGGGCGCGTGCACTCGCCAGACAGACAGAGAGCGATAGAGAGACAGAAAGCGAGAAATCACCCCCCAGGGGGGATGGTCACGCCGCAATCCCTTCTCCTCCATTCTCCTCTCGGGATCTTGGGCACGCACACACACGTGCCCGGCATGAGTTTTAAGCCACCGGGCCCGGGACACGAACCGCGGTTGACTACGCGGGAGTCCAGCGACATAGCCATTACGCTAACTGCTGGTTCCCAAAGGGACTTCTTAGGATCTTGTGCAAATAGCAATGTTTCACTGAGTAAAAGCTTTCCCCTTTTTTTGGAGAGATTTTTTGCTATAGGGTGTGTGCTCACTGGAGAGTCATAGACACAGAAAGTGAGAAATGAACCCCTGGGGTGGGGTGGGGAAGGGGATGGCCATGTCACAATCCCTTCTCCATTCTCCTGGGGTCTTGGGCACACATGCACACACTCCCAGCATGAGTCTGAAGCCACTGGGTCTGGGACTCCGACCAAGGTTGGCCATGTGGGAATCCAGCAATGTAACTGCTACCCCATCTGCTGGCCCCAAGTAAAATCTTTCTGAACCAAGTGAAGTCCTCCTCTGTCTCCCTGCTAAAATGTTCACATACACTAACACTTAAATGCTGTTTGCAGGTTTGCTGGCATGTCAAGGCCCGGCCGTGGTTCCAGAACATCTAAATGCCCCCAGATCTGCTCCCCTGGGTCACTGGGCAGCAGCCACCATGCCAGGAGATGGTCACACACCATAAATGCTCACTCACTGGAGCGCAGCAGACACACCATCTCGTGTGATTTATAGCAGTTTCTTTTTGTGGCCAAATGCATAAAGCAAACATTTTCCAGATGATTTTTTAAAATGTTATCTTTAGTCCTTAGGGTCTACTTCTGGCTTTATTTTAATTCTTAGGAAATAGTTTGCTGTGTATTAAAGTCGCAAACATGGTCTTGGAAAATGCAGAGTAGTTAATAACAGTATATTGTCAAATACACTTGACCCTTGAACATCGCCGAGGGTGAGGGCTGCCAATCCCGCTTCCGATGGAAATTCACAAAGATCTTTTGATTCTCCCCTTAGTGTAACTACTAGCGTACTATCTTATGAATAACATAAACAGTCAATTAACACACACTTTGTTATAGATATTATACACTGCATTATTACAACACACTAAGTTCGACGAAAGGAAAAGTCATTAAGAAATTGTAAGGAAGAGAAAACATAATTACAGTACCGTGTTTTCCAATGAATAAAGGAAATCTGTATCTAAGTGGACCTATGCAGTTCCAAGTGTGTTTTACAAAGGTTAGCTGTAGTTTTCTACCTGTGATGTTTTAGAATTATTAACCTCACATTTAAAAGAGTGCAATCTTCCAAGGAATAATCACAAAACCCAATCGGGGGGCTGATTTCCATTCTTGGCATCCTAATTCAGCCTCATGAAGGCCCCGTTCCTGGCCTACTAGCTCAGCCTCATGACACTCCTGAAGGCGCCAGCCCAGTTCACAGAGGGTGAGGATGTTGATAAACCTTCCCCTTCCTCCTGCCTGTTTTATTTTTGTCCACTGCATTTTCATTTCATCATTCTTCATTTTACTTGCTCATTGTGGGTTTTTTCCTATTTTTTCCCCAGTAGAATGTTGCTCCTTCGAAGTAGGAAATCAGATATTTTATTCACTGCCCCTCCCAGTACCCAACAGTAATGAACTATTGTACATCGGTAATCAATACACAGAAACTAAATAAATGAAAGTGTGAGTGAATGTGTGATTCATTCTTTTCCAGCACATTTTTGTTTATCAGTTATGTTGCATAAACAGACACTTCTATAGAGCAGCAATGACCAAAATACTTTGCTTTCAGGAAGCTGTTGAAACATGTGAGAATGGCATGGTCAACAAGAATTTGTAAAAAGTCGGATTAAACAAAGTCTAAAAAGAGTTTTTAGAATAGGACTTCTAAGATTTAATAATTCATTCATGTACCTCTGGATTCCCAAAGAAAAATATAGAACGTGCTGTTTCCAAACTTACTTCACAGCAAAATCTTTATCTCAAGGACTGTTTATCTAGGCTAATATTCTGAGAAACACATTTTCAGATATGATGTTAAAAGGTCATTCTCCATGAACCTAGTTTTAGACCATTATTAAAGAAGATGATTGTTTGGGATTAACACCAATAAAAGCTTAAAATCACTGAACAAATTTAAAACATTCTACCTCAATGAGAAAATGGTAAATTATCAAGCAATAACTTGACATTGGAGATGTACCATAGAGTATAGTTTTTATAGCATATTCAGCTTCATCTTATGATTTCTACAACTGAATATAGTAGGACAACTAATATTTGTAAAGATGATTTGGGGTCTATGAAGCCAAAATGATTTCTAAATAGTAAAAATTAAAATTGGCTTACCATTGATTTCATTATATGAATTCTAGTTATTGAAAATTTCTAAATGTTAGTGTCTTGAAGGTAATTGTGCCTATCCGATTATTACATTAGTCTACATAGCTACGCCACAGTCATTATCAGTGAATTTAATTTTCTTATTTTACATGAGGTTATAAGAAATTTTGAGGTAGATGCTGATTTGAGATGCAGTTCAAATTATCTTTAGACTAGAAACTTTACAAGTATTTGGGCTAGGCTGAATCCAAGTGGGGAACGTGCTGGGCCATCTGATTACCTTTCCGTATAGTCGGCGTGTCGCTGTCTGCTATCAGCTGCAAGCAGTCTTGAGTGACTGAAAAGCAAAAACATACCATTTTAGCCACTTGAGTTTAAATAGTAAGGGAACTAAAATAACTGAGCACATGAAACCACATACTCCTTTCCAGGAACACTAGATAAATGATTTTTATATTCACTTGCATGATAGTATTCTTAACGTTACCTTATAAAATTTGTCCATCGGGGGACCAGCAGATGGCATAATGGTTATGTCGCTTGACTCCCGTGTATTTGATCATTGTATGAGTCCAGGACCCAGAAGCTTGAAACTCGCACTGGGTGTGCAGGCGTACCTGCCCAAAATCCCAAGAGAAGACTGGAAGAGAAGGGATTGTGGCATGGCCATCCCCCCAGGGAGTGATTTCCTGCTTTTCATCTGTCTGTTTCTAGTGACTGCGTGTGCCTATAGCAAAAAAAAAAATCTCTTAAAAAAAAATTCCATTGATTTGAATATGTATGATGAAACTCATGCCATAAGAGAACCCTGTGCCCTGTTGGGGTAGAGTAGGTGGTCCATCTACAGTTTAACTGGACTCACTTTGATAGCTAATGGCTGTATTCAGTCATTGTTTCTGAATCCACCAAATTCAAGAAACAGCTAAGCTATCAAGTCATTCTAAAACAGCCTGTTGTTTTAAAAGAACCTACTATTAAATAATGACTTACTGTTATTGAAAATGATTGTTCTGACATCAGTGGAAACAAAAACAATTGCTAACATACTGAACAGATTACAAGTGCATGCAATATACTAAGGCTAGGATACACTACTTCCTTTTACTCTCACAGGAATCCAAAGATTAGGCATTAAAAGCCAAGACGTGGGGCCAGCAGGTGGCGTGGTGAAGGTACTGGACTCCCACATGGCTGACCATGATTCAAGTTCTGGGCCTGGTGTCTTACTTTTCCACTTTCTTTTCTCTTTCTGTCTCTCTCTGGTCAAATAAAAAAATAATGATAATAAGTAAAATTAAATACATAATTCCAAAAACAAACAAACAAAAGCCAAGGTTTAGCAAGTTAAACAGCTTGTTCAGGTCCTTAGCTATAGAAAGTGACAGTACCAGAATTGAAAACCAGTCTGTTTCATTCAGGAGCTACAGTCAAGCTCTGGTAAAATAATTTGTGCCAAAGAGAAAAGGAGAACTTAGTTAATAACAAGATAGAAGTTTTCCACTAGACTGTATAGTCAATAGAGTTTTGTAGAAACATCAATTCACATCACATATTACATGTAGAATATTCCAGTGAGTACACAAGGGAGTAAATAATTATTGCATTAAATAGAAAGCAATGCCTTCAGGTGAAAGCAATTAAATTCAGCTTCCATTGGAACTGTAGGTAGAAAAGAGCAAAGGAATGAATGTCTGCAAAATAAGATACATACATTTAAGCTTGCATGTCAAGAAAATATTAGTTTAGATTTTAAAAATTATTATTGAGCATGTCTTTTATTCAGAGCTGAAGCAATGCCTTTTTTAAAAAAATTATTTAATTTTATTTGCTGTTATTATTTATTTTTCAGTTTTACCAAAGAGACAGAGAGAGAGAGAGAGAAAGAGAAAGTGAAAAAGTAAGCCACCAGATCTAGGACTCAAACCATGGTCTGTCATGTGAGAGTCTGGTGCCTTAACCGCCATGCCACCTTCTGGCCCTGAAATAATTCCTTAATAAAATGCATCTGAAGGTATAATTTCAAGAATTTGTCACAGTGGAGACTCCTGTTTCCATAATTAACTGACAATTTCTAATGTTTAAAACTTGAAATAAAGTAATAAATAATTTAAATAATTTATTTATTACTTTGTTTTATATATATATATATATATATTACAAAT